AAAATGAGCCCATTGCTGAAGAAAACGGTGTCATCATCTTTTGTCTCGAAGAGGCCGTGGTGGCTGCGTGCTAACTTGCAAAACAAAACGAGCTGAACCTGGGTTGGGGTTTTTTTTTTCTCCTTTTTAAATCATACCAGCACGCCGAGAACCCTGTAAACGTGTTTTAAAGGCTGAGGAGTGTGGCCGTTCAACTGCTTTCTGCGGGTCAATATTCATGTGTCTTTTTGAAACTCGATAGTACAGAATTACTTCAGTGCGTACACTCCCGGGGGTTGTCAGTGTTTTAAAATTAAGCTGTGCTATTTTTGTGTTCATCTGTATGAGTTGGCAATTTTCATGCAAATTATGGGTTCTTAAAATAACTAAACATACAAAAGAAATGTTGAGTTTCCTTCAGAGGAGAGCCTTCGTCTCAAAGACGAAGCTTGATTTTAGTATGCTTTTGTAGCAGACTAAATCGTATCTTTGCAGCCTAACACTTCTTGTACGGCCTGGGACGATTACTTGCGGATCCACTTAAAACGAGGATCCACGCTGCACTCCAAACGCGTCCGATGCGAAGAACAGCCCCGATTTAAACCTTTCTCAGAAGTCGCGGTGCTGCTCGCCGGCTGCCTTTTATTGTCGGTGTGGCACGACAAGCCCCAGGCGCTCGAGTGCCAACGCCAAGCTGCAGAACCCGAGTTTCAACCCGCGCAGATGGATTTCCCTTTACTATTTGCTGTAGCGGCGGCGAGGGGCCGGGAGCCGGGCTGGCGTGCAGAAGCGAGGAGCGGAGGGATCACACCGACACCCAGCAGCTTGCAGCGACCCGAACCCAACCGCGCTGTGCCCGTTGAGCCATCCTACAACTGTCCAAACACATCGACTCAATTCCCGCTGCGCAAATATTTTTCCTCTCATGAAAAACGTCGAGCCGGGGTTGGATCGCCCCGGCAACGGATGTCCGAGGTATTTATATTTATATTTATCTTTTTTTTTTCGCAGCAGGCCCAGCCGCGGGGTCCAAGGTCGGTGCCGGGGGCAGGGACGCCGATGACATCCAAGCCCGGGG